TTATATGACTAATATCTGTTACTGAGCATGAGCTCCTACTTCAAAGATTTGTTTACTTATACGATTTAATTATGCATAAATTCTAGTAAATTGTAATTTGCAAAAATCTATTTATTTAAAAGTTACCAACGTAACCATTAAGTCTATAATCTTTTCCAATTTAATATGCACTTATGGAAGGCACTCGCATTGATTTTAAATTCAATTTTTTTATGGTTTGAGGGCCGATTTCATTAAAGTCGTATTGGAAAAGCGTGATCGCGTCATCGGTGGATAGTGGAAACTGATAACCTTTAATGTGTACACTCTGATCGCAATATTAGTTTCATCTACTATATAATGTTTGTTTTTGTCGCATGAGTCGACCCAGTCACGCGTGCCGTTTTATTTCACTCTGATCATGCAAATGCTCTTGTTTTAATAGCAGTAGAGCTCCTAGTGAAAAAGTTCGTCCAGGGCAGTACCCTCACCTTACCTATTTCTGCCGCCAAGCAGTAATGTCAGCATTAATGCGTTCCGGTTCTGAATGGTTAAGAGTACTGGCGAAATTACATGCAAATAGGACTTGTCGACTTATGTCGCAAGGTGACGGGCGCAGTGGCAGTGCCCCTCATATCTTTGCGATTTAAAGCTCTGAGTGGGACTGTAACTGTTATGGAAAGGCGTGTCGCTTACCATCAGGCGTACGACTTGTTCGTCCCATCACTTGGTATCATAAAAAACATCTGGTTTCAAAATCCCTAAATTACCCGCTGCCCAAGGACGTAGTAACTGGCACCAAAGTCGAGGTAATCCGCACCGCGAACAGCTCGATGTATGAGAAATCTTACTTTACAGAAATCACTCTTATATCACACAGGATAAAAGTATTGAAACCTGTCCTCAAAACACATAAAAAACTTGCTTGTTAAAATATCTTTCACTTGTCAATTACAAATCCAGTTATATACGATAAGTATTAAAATAATTCTACATTATGCAATTACTTCTAAGAATATTTACAAATTACAAGAATATTTCGAAAACTACAAAAACTTCGTTGCCTTTGGAAATTTCTTATAGTAGCAAATAAAATTTGGGTCCTAGAATAGTCTAGCATGTCGCTCTAGCATCGTTTTCTAATTTCAACGTTCATGTTGTTAGTACAAAATAATGGTTCTTTATAACACCGCAATATGGCCTGGATCAATTCTAAAGTGTCTGCCTTGACAATAATAGTTAAAGTGGCACTAAAACTTAAGGAGCTTAGTATAAACATTAAAATTCTTAAGTATTGGCTTTATACATAGGAAATGTAACTTTTTTCGGATCTCAATCAGATCTAAAATCAGTCAGTGATCACGGAACCTGTAAAGGGCCCGAAACGGCGCCTTCAATTCAAATTAAAAGCTTATAGAAGCTCTACAGTTGCACTATGGCGCTGCAGTGGCGCCACTACTAATTTTCATACAAGGGCAGTTGCAGCGCCACTGTCGTGACTACAAAAATTGCTGAAGCACTAGAGACGCGCGAATAAGCCGTGGTAGCCTAAAGGTTTGACATACCGCCTCCCAAGTAGAGGTCATGGGTTTGAATCCGGGCTCCTCAGGTAGAAAATAAGTAGCAGTAGAGCTCCTTGTGAAAGAGTTCGTCCAGGGAAATACTGCCACCTCACTATTTCTGCTGCCAAGCAGTAATGTGAGCATTACCGCGTTCCGCTTTCGAAGGGTACGGGTGCTGGTGAAATTACAGGCACATGGGACTTGCCAATTTATGACTCAGGGTGACGGGCGCAGTGTCAGTGCCCTTAGGATTTTCGATTTAAAGCTCTTAGTGGCACTGCAACTGTTTTGGATCTTGTTTCGTTTCTCGGAATTTATGTGCGAAATTTAATTAGAAATTTACCATGATCTTTTCGGTAAAGGAAAACATTGCACGTCGAAGAAGGTTCACAACCCTCGAAAAACGTGTGAACTCCTCAACCCGCATTGGGTCATCGAAACGGACTATGGCCTAAAGCTGCGCCTGAGAGGAGACCCGTGCCCAACAGTGTGACGTATAAATGGGTTGCTAATGGGTGGAGACGCGCGGCTGAGGCGCCACTGCAGCACTTGTACACTTGTCTAATTATTTTATTATTGAAAGTATTTGGAAAGGCCATATGTTACTGTCGCATCAATGTAAACAGAAACAATAAGTGTACGAATTTATAAAGTTGTAGAGCACAGAACGTAGTCCGTAGCTTCGTCCAAGAAACTTCGCGGAAAACAAAAACGATCGCAGCGCCCGCAGCAGACAAAATTAGCAATTTAAATGGGCGTTTACTGATTGCATTCTTGCAACTGCCAAGTAGCAGTTGAAATGCAATCGGAAAGCAGTTTGACTGCAATTGGCTGGACTGCAGTTTCGATTATAAATAACGTGACCATTATTTTTTTCATTCAGAGCGAGACGCCTGTAAATTTATTATTGTTTTAAAAATAAAACACTTGTTTATGATAGTTACGAAATGTTTAATTAAAAAAAACTGATCTTGTGTAATTTGGTCGGCTGACTTTATATATTTTTCGGATGAACAAATTTGCTTTAATATCAGGTTTAGTTCTTAAGAATGTAACCATCGGCATGATTTTTTCATTTATATGTCACGTATGTCGTGTTATATCAAAGCGGGTCAAAGTATGGTCACGTTAATTATAAATAAAGTTAAAAAATAACACCACACGAAATATCACTTTATTCTAGATCAAGAGACGCTATTTAAGAAATAAACTTACGATACACACTGTACCTTTGGCACATACATCTAAGGAGTAACGACGAACTTCGAATCTAGCTAATTAAAAAATAAAACTACGAATTTCTAGCAATTAATATCTAGAATTAGGGTCGAATTTTATTTGTATTACTAGTAATGGCCGACAAGTTACTTTTAACCCTGAAATGGTGGTGATAAAAATCGACAATTTTCAACATCAATGTTCTTGTAGTCAATAGAAGATTACTTCTTTCAAATTCCGCAAGATTGCGAAGGTACAAAACTATCTTGTCAGTGCTTAATTAGAGAATTTTATACAATAGTCACTACACACGCTAGGTACATAACCCATCGCCTACTGGCGACTAAATGCAACCGCGTTATAATCAAAACTAAAAAATATATACTCGAAGATGGATTACATAGTTGTCTGAATCTGAATGCTTCATCCTTTGAGGAGACCTATGACCCAGCTGTAGAACATAATTCCATAAAACACACAAAGGCAGTAAGCATAAAATACACGAATAGAGCAAAGCTGCATAAGAGGCGTTTATTTCAATATCATTATATCATATTTTTCTTGCATCAATTTACCTATATTCTATCTTTTTTGAAGACGGAGTAAAATGCCATTTGCAGGGTTGCCAGTTTTCGTAAAATTTTAAATAGTCATGTAGTTGTTGTCGACAGTTTTATCGATAGATTGTGACAGTAGGTAAAATTTTGCCAAAAACGTTTGAATTATGAATGTTACGACGTTCTAATGATTACTAATTGATTTATTTATATTCTTTATTCTTATTTTGACAGTTGGTCTATTATTATCGAAATCAATTTTTAGCCATACACGTTTTAATAACGAATCCACTTGAATTTGATTTGAAATGCAAATTAAAAACTTTAATATATCTCTCTACGTATGAATTTTCCAAAATAAACAATTCAAATCAATCTGTGCCCGGCAGTTGGACGAATAATGGGCTGATGACGATACAAAATGAAATAAGTTCGGTTATTTATTTCACAAGTGTAACCAACATTTACTTTAATCGATAGTCGATAGAATACTTATCGACTGCAATCACTAGCTGCTTGCAAGCGGGCAACACTTTTACGTAATGAACTGTCACTTTACTACATCTTCAAAAAATATAGACTGCAAGGTATGTTACAGAAGACCCATTCTTTTATATAATCGTTGAACATTTATTTAATTCCGAGCGAATATAAATAAGTGCCACGTTATGATAGAATAGGTAGCAGACGTTCGATCTCATACAAAACACAGGGAAGCAACTACCATCGTAATATCCATATTTCTAAGTCACATAAATGTAACGAAACGAAAAGGTTATATTACACTATTTACGATTGAAAATAAAAAAAATCTAATTAATTCCAATATTCAATACGTCAAAATAAAGGTCCTTTAAAAGCATCGACTATATAACCAGAAATAGAGACAAAATAAGGACCTTCCATCCCTGGCAACTCATCAGGTAAATGGGCCTTATGTCACTTTTAAATGTTAATTCAGGGGGCCTACTATGAGCTCTTAGAGCAATCCTATTTAAGCCTGCAAGTTGGATTGCCTGTCAAATTCGTAGTATGACCTCACAAAAACAATTCACTGTCCATGCAGTTTACGTTCCCCATTCGAAATCCGCTCATCTTTTCTTTCACAGCAAAATCGTATCATGACGTACCATTTGCCATGCAAATGGCGGTCTCATCTGTAAAAATAAGCAATTCAAAAGAAGTTACTCCGTGACTATTTTTTTTTATATTTTGTTATATTTTTAAGAAATGTCGTTTAAGTTTTATTATATTTTCAGTTTCGTAATTATTTGTTATCTTTATAGTGCTATATAGCCAATTGTCAATAAATAAATAAATACTATTAACAGTTGAGCATTTTTTTGAAAATTTTAGTTAAGAATTCCCAATCTTTAAAGTATTTTTGATAAATTATTGGCATGAATGTTATTGCAATTTTTAAACGGATTTTTAATCATTTCAATAATTTTATTTACCGAAAATCGTAAAATAACTTTTAAATAGTGCCAAATTTGACTTTAATGCAATCAATGAAAATGTACGAATACAAGGTGCGTTCCAATTATGTAATCAAATTACAAACTCACATTATCAATTTCAATGATAATGACTAGACATGACATGTAATTTTGTCGTACGACAAATTGTAAAGTATGAAAGTTGCCGATATTATAAAACAACGTAGTAAATATAATCAATAACAAAATTAATAAAAAAATATAATTATTCTCATTTTGTACACAATCGGTTAATAGTACTTGAACGCTCCCACGATAGTACACCTGTCTATTTCTTTAATATGATTTAGTATGTAGTTCTATCTCGCTCTTGTTAGATGTTATCTAGCCAGCCAGAGATAATAATTAACGTTTAAAAAGTAAAACTCATCATCCAGGTCTGCCATTCCCGTTCAACTTTGTGTAGGTCATTCAGTTTTTCCACGTCAAGTGAATTGCAAGGAACTTGGCTGGCTGCTAATTGAAGACACCCGTCAATTCGGGTTAGCAAATAGGAGCGCAGTTGTCACAGTAATGATTTGGCAGAATAGTTTTCAAACAATTTAAATGACATTTCGTCTCTATTTCTAGCTTAGAGGATGGAAAAAAATAAAGATTTCTAGTTATATACTCGATGTTTAAAAGTGACGTGCTTTGTGAACGCATTTCAACGTTCACTAGAGGGCGCTAGGTATAACAGTGGAAACTGAGCTACCTTCTTATCTCATTAGTGATTTCGCTGCCGATGTTAGTACTCATAGTAACTGACAATTCATTTGTCTGGTGATGTTTAAAAAAGGTACCGTTGTTGAATTTCACGAGTTATTTTTAAAGGGTCCGTTTCACTTTAGAAACATCCTTTTTTGGGAATTTTTTTCCTAGAATTCACATGTGATAGCGATTCTAATCTAACATTTCAGACTTCATTACACATCACGTGTGGTCTTTGCTGTACATTAAAATAAAGACGGTATCTGGCAAAGTAGTGGTTTATTTGCACGTCAGACAAACTTCTAATACAAAATATGAATGTAATTCAACCTTAATTAGACAACTTGCTCTGTTTCGTCCCTTGTGCTTGAAACCGCGTCTGTTGTTGATGTCGTACCCCTATAAAGTTTCAAGTTCGATTCCGTATAATCTAAAATCTTTCTACTCGAATGCCTAATATATAACATTTGTTTGTGATATATTTTTAACGCGCCTTTAATTGTTATATACGTAAGACCACCTAGGATTGTTCTGTGGAGATTATTCTGTACGGAACGGAAGAAAATTTTGCCTATTATGGTAGATATGGTTGGGAGTAAGAGGGCAGAGCAGAAGATCCGCGTGGGAGATAGATGATGGCTGTTTTGGTTCTGCTGATGACTGGATTGACCTGTCACTACGGCGCCTCTGTCGCCTTCCACGCTGGAATTGAGATAAATTGCATTTAACTAAAAAATAATAATTTAGACTTAAAACTAACGTAAAGGACTTATCGATTGACTCCTATAAGGAGAAATGTGACCTTAAATACACGTTTTGATATATTCCGACTACACGCGGAAAATCTGTTTAATTAAATGATAACTTATTCATAAAAAAACCGACCTCAAAAGTTCGTGGAATTACATCTATTTGCCAAGTTTTATTCAAATCGGTTACCGAAAAGTGAAAGAATTCATCCCCTAGTTTGCCACCCTTAGAGGTGGAATATTCTCTTCAAATTTAATTTGTATAAAATAAAAAATACTGAGGTACCCACCCTTTTCCAACAAAAAAAGATGGAATATTGTTTGAAGTCGGTTAAAAATACGAATTTGCTTTTTAATTTGATAATGAAAATAGACGATACCGGGAGTGACCTATACAAAACTTCGTTCAGTAAAACGAGTCACAAATTTCCATTTTTTACCACTTTTAACTACGGAAAAAACAGTTTCGTTCGATTGTTATTGCAGATATTTCAATGAAATGTTCTCTCCTATGTCCCGTAACTTACACGTCAGGGGGCGTGAGCTTATTTTACAGTAAGAGATTATATTTTATTTCTAAATAATTAAATATCGTGCAATGAATTTCTCCGCGTCAACCTCCCACCCACGCATTTTTAGACCATTATTTGTTGAGTGCAGCGTACAAGCTCCTCAATTCTCCAAAATTTTTTTTATTGAAAATATAAGTGCTGATTTGACCTCTATCTCGCCTGGTGGGAAGTGACGATGACTTCAACGATTTAACAGGATGCTCAAGGTCGCAAAAAGTTTTTGGAAACGTATGCAGACCTACATAGAGCACATACTTAATTGTTAAGAGTCTCTACTAACTCAGTTCAAATTTTATTTTTCCTGTAATGAATCGGTTCTAGGTAAGTTCGGGTCAAGCGGCAGGGTCACTGGCTTTATTTCAGAATGTGTTTTTTACAAACGAAATTAAAGCCATTTGAAAAATGTATATCGTATAAGTAGTACACGTGTTCTATTTAGGTAAGTTGATATAAAAAAAAACATTGTTACATGTAAAGTAGCCATTTAATACAACGGTTTTTTTTTTGGAAAATTTCGAGTTAAGTTTACGATTTTTTCTTTTTAGGAATCGACTTTTCACACCGTATAGTAATCAGTGTATATTCTAAATTTTATCATATATTTTTTCCAAAGTGATTCATTCAACACTTTCATTGTTTAACTGCCTCCGTGGCCGAACGGTTATCATGTCGAACTGCCACGCTGAGGTCCCGGGCTCGGAGAAATATTCGTATGGCCTACTTTTATTTCTCTCGTGAGTTTGAGTGTAATTTGTAGTTGTCTATAAGTGTGTCCATGGCACCCGCGACACAGGGTTTCCCTAGTGCGGGGCTATGTTGAGTGTGTGCGTTATTATATATATATATATATATATATATATATATAGCAATGTCCAGTTTAGTCATAGTTTAGTTATATATTATAATATCACTCACTTGCCAAATGGCAGTATGTACGCCAAAACGGGAATCTTCGCACAGTATTTCCTAAGGAAAAGCAGGACGGAATCTTCCCAGTTGTACATCTTGGCGCTGATGAGGGTTACCGGAATGGTAGGCAGCAGGACCAGAAGCACCAGTGGATCTGCTGACTCCATCATTTCCAGACCTTCTCTGTGACCGACTACCTGAAAAAATAAGTGATATCGAAATAAATATGCGAGACAATCAACCATAACTTTCCGGTATTGACAGTCGCTAGCATTCTAACTATATTATATTACCTAGCCTCGGTACCAGACGGTACAAGGACGATTATTTTTTTATAATACCAAGCGACGGGATGAATAAGCCCTGCGCCTGGTGATAAGCGACACGCCTATCCATAACAGTTGCAGTGCCACTCAGAGCTATTAATCGCAAAGATTTTGAGACATAAGTTGACAAGTCCCTTGTGCCTGTAATTTCACCAGCACCCTTACCCTTCGAAATCAAATTGCTCACATTACTGCTTGGCGGCTGAAATGGGTAAAGTGGCAGTACTTTCCTGGACGAACCCTTTCACAATGAGTTATACTACTATCTAGGTTCAAACTACGTTAACTTTCTATGGAACGAAATTGAACAATCGTACAAATAAGAAATATGAAAGAACAATTATAGCGGAACCAAAGATGGAACTAATAGGGTGCCTTATCATTAGACACGACTAGTGGCGCGACTGTTGCGCGTTGTCAACTTATGTCTCAGCGTAACAGACGTAGTAGCAGCATCCCACAGATATTTGCGATTCAAAGCTACGAGTGGCACTGCAACAGCTATGAACAGACGTGTCGCTTACCGCCAGGCGCACGAACTTATCGTCCCGCCACAGGGTATCGAAACGAATACTGTTTTGTATAGTAAATAATCAAACTTGACTGCCTCCGTGGCCGAACGGTTACCATGCCGGACTGCCACGCAGAGGTCCCAGGTTCGATTCCCGGGCCGGGAGAAATATTTATATGGCCTACATTTATCTCTCGTGAGTTTGGGTGTAATTTGGGGTTGTCTATGTGTGTGTCCATAGCACCCGCGACACAGGGTTTCCCTAGTGCGGGGCTATGTTGAGTGTGTGCGTTATTAAAAAAAAACTCCGTGAAATGTTTAAAATTCAATTTTAAGGTATGTAAGGGAATTGGCTCAAGCCAGTAAGAAAAACCCGCCCGCTAAAATGCGGCTAAATGGCAAAATAATTTTTTGAGATATCATAAAAAACCATTAACTAGTTTTAGAATATTGAAATTGTTTAATAATATTTCAGCTATGCATTGTTAGGGTAAGTTCTGATTAACTGTTTTTAAAAGAGAATTGTGTGCTATACCTTATGCAACCTTACAACGGATATTTGACCATTTCTCACTTAGCGTATAAGTTATTAGTGAATAAGTCTGGGTACTCCCTAACAATGTAGCCTACGTTAAAGCGTTCAGGGTCCACAAGTAAAACACACAAAGATATAAATTGTTTGGAGGAAATTTTATCACTTATCCTCAGTTTTCACTTGTCACTAATAGAAATGGAATCGCGTAAGTTTCAAATCTGTCCGAAACCGCAAATGATGAATACACTCAACGATAGAAATTAGAATCAATATTGGAAAGAGAAGCACCTAGTTAACTTAAAAAGTGGTTACACACGACGACTTTTAGCAGCGATGCAAACGTTCGTGCAACGTTATTGTTGAAAATGTATTTGAATTTTAGACGTAGTTATTTTGTTTATTTTGAAATTATTTACGAAGTTTTACATAAAAAACGTCGGCAGTCGGTTTTAACAGAACATTCTAAAGGAAAATTGATCATCATTGACGAAAATAAAATTGGGTTGGGTGGAAGTTGTTATGTAGAAGTAAGATTTCATTTCTATGATAGCAATCATGCAGGCACATTGTTTCTGTTATAAATAATAATAATAATAATAATTATTATTATTATTGCGACGCGGCGCGATAACATTAATTACATTGTACGTGAACGTTTCCATACAAAGCTATACAAAAACTTGTGTAAAAAGGATAATAATCATATAGGCTAATAAAATATAACTTATAGAAAAACCCCAGCTAAAATAACGTGCGCGCGGTTTTTGTTCCATCATGCCGTTGGTTTTTTTTATTTTTTTTTTATTCTGTTGCCTCCGACGTGAGAAGAAGGAGTCTTTGTATCTACGTTTACATTATGTGCCTAATTTTCTCATTCATACTAAATAGTTCTCGCTTTTATGCCTATCGTACTATTATTCCTCCAATTTTGCCTACCTAACTAATATTCTTATTCTATTTTGTTTATCTCTTCTTTCTTTCTCTCTTCTTTATATATATATATATGTTTTAGAATCGTAATACACAGGGCGCAATACAAGTTTCCGGAACTGGCCACTTACATAAACAATATTTAAAAAGTAATTACAACTTTTGAAAATGGAACTCTTTGGCTGTAGAATACAGTGTTTTTACACAATTGGCGTCATTTTAGAAATTGGTTGTCTACATCACCATGGATTTAACTCGTGAAAATTTTCGTAGTATGATTTTCTGTCTTTAAATGTAATTTAACAGCTCAGCAGAGGTTCCCTCGGCTTCAAACCGTTTTTGGCGATGAAGCACCATGGAAGACGACTATTTATCACTCGTTTGCAGAATTCAAACGCGGTCGTGTGACTCTCAGTGACGAATTTCGTGATGGTCGCCCGTCCACTGCTGTGAACAATAAAAACGTCGATGCTGTGCGCCGTATGATCAAAACAGATAGGCATGTGACATACCATGACATTCGTGCCCCTGTAGGCATAGGCATGAGTCAAATACAATCAAAACTACACAAACATTTGAGTGTGAAAAAACTCTGCTCTCGGTGGATCCCACACAATTTGACTTAGGCTCAAAAAACGGATTGCGTAACTTGGTGCAATGCCATGCTTACCAGATTCAACGAAGGGGCGTCAAATTTAGTGTGGGATATAGTAACAAGTGACGAAACATGGATTTATAGTTACGATCCCAAAACAAAGCAACAATCGAGCGTACGGGTCTTTCGAGATTTGAAACCAACCAAAAAAAAAAGTGACACGCGTGCAAAGTGCCTCTAAGGGGATGATTGCTTCATTTTTTAATAAAACTGGACACGTGGCTACTGTTGTTTTGGAGAATCGTTGTACCGTGAATAGTGATTGATACACGACCATTTGTTTGCCGGAAGTTATTGACAAACTCCGTACAAATAACCGTAAACGCCGTATCATCTTGCACCACGATAATGCCACTTCTCACACGGCCAGACAAATGAATTTTTGAAGGTGAACAACATTGACCTTATGAGCCATCACGCGTACAATCCCGACCTGGAACCTTGTGACTTTTATTTATTTCCAAAAATCAAGAACCAGTTACGCAGTCTACGATTTTCATCACCTGAAGAGGCTGTCGAAGAGTATGAAAAATATGTTTCAGAGATGGTCACGGAGGAGTGGCATAAATGTTTTCAAAAGTGGTTCATTCGTATGAAAAAGTGCATTAACGCTAACAGAAAATATTTTGAGAACCTATAAATCCATTTCTGGCCATTTATATTATGTTTTTCTTATTCATTCCGGAAACTTATAGTGCGCCCGACGTAAGGGTTCATGGTAAGGCTCCTGTAGACATTTATCTACTAATTTGGAACACCCTATCCGACCACTGATAATAACTATTAATAAAAAAATTAAACAATAACGCTATGAGCTATAAATAATAAACCTATGATCATATTGTCATGATCGCACAGTCACGTAATATATTCCATTTACAATCGTCAAATATAAAGAGCATAAATCCCTTCGCCCCATGGCTTGACCCACGACATGGGTCAAGTCAAACTACCTGCCACACTCTTTGGCAAAAGTCGTCAATTTACAATGTGACGAACGCCTCTCTATTATGAAAGCAACCTAGAACATCAACTTCTAGAAAATTACAAACCGCTGATTGTTAAAACAGTATTAGCAACTATTAGCAAGGAATTCATTGTCTGTCATTGTTTGACATTAACACTGAGTGTACGAGTCCATACAATAGCTGTTTTCGAAAGTTGTCTTGGTCATATCACTGTGACAAACCACGTGAGTTTTGTTATACACTTTCACTTTGCTCCGGACACTTCTGTAATTCGAATCATTATTTATTCAATAAAAACAAATCATAAAGTTACAACCTAAAGATCAGGACTAGGCTTCGTCAGTAGGTACTTATAACACAGAAACCTGAGATGTACTAAAGATTTCCTCAAAAATTCCGAACCTGAAGAATTGTCATGTCATGAAGAATTTTCAAATACAAATTTACATTAACAAGTGTAATTAACAATATGAAGAAAAGAAACCGAATATGAAATCCTATTAATATTTGCAGATCTGCTTGCAAGTGTACCTAATTTTACTTAAGACTTTATAATTACTATATTCTGGCAAATAAACGTATTCTAATAATAATAATTAACGTACACACTCATAGTTCCGCACTAAGGAAAACCTGTATCGCTGGTGTGTGGTGTGTATCGCATATGGTGCCATGATCACACAAATGTCACCCAAATTGTCGAGAGAAATAAATGTAGACTATGCAAATATTTCTCATAGCACGGGAATCCAACCCGGGCCCTCTCCGTGGCAGACCAGCAGTGGCCCCGAGTTTAATAGAAATGGTTCATTACATATCGAGTTCTTAGGTTTTCATTCTGTTCCCTTTACAGGTCCCATGGTCACGGTTGACTGAGACGGTACAGTCATCAACCAGTTATATGTAATATTAATGCAAACCACCCTATTTTTTCACTATAATTACAAAAGTTATTAGTAAAATACCTTATTTTTAATTTTACAAAGAAACATTATTATAGTAGCGTAAATGGACCCGAAACGTTGATTTGTTTGAAAAAAAAACCGCGATTTAAATCTGGAAAAATATTTTCTTTTCCTATGGTTCATTACATTCAATTAAAAGGAATGGGCCTTACGTTTCTTCCAATGGGCAGCCGGAGAAAATGCGCTTCATACCATATTGCGCTTTTGCACAAATGAGTTGAGTTTCTGCACAAATTTAGTGATAGAACCTTTCATCGAGAGCATAGACTCTTTAAGAACTCTACTGCCACTAGTAAAGAACATCCGG